CATCCCTGAGCACCTTCCCGTGCTTCCCAGCCCACCTGTGTGTGCACGGTCACTTCAGCCCCGTGTGTGCTGGTGCCAGCAGCAGCTGAAATCATCAACAAACTCCAGGTTTTGGGGGGAACGGCTCCACAGCGGTGCTGGGAAGTGACACGTTTCGGTGTTTCGGTTCGGCCCCGGCCATGTGCTGCGTGTGGACAGCCCTGCTCTGCTCCGGGAGGACGGTCCAGCCGCAGGGCACCTCTGCTCAGCTCCGGATGGGAAGAGGCTTTCCCCGGAGACGGAGCTCGTTGACTCCTTATTGATGACTCTTTCCCTCCTGCACGTCTGGGGAAGAGACCTGCGGAATAAATCAGTGCAAGAGACAGATTATGGCAGCTAAAGACTCCAAATGAGATGATAATTGCTGTAGTAATGACAACGAAGACCTGATGCTGCCGATAAGGAAATATCTCTTCTGCTCTTGCCTGGTGCCCGGACAGGGGTTTGGCACGGGCACAGGGATGATGCTGTCCCCAAGGATACCAGGGCCAGGGAGCGCTGCCCTCCCTGTGCCCAGGGCAGGGGCTGGGTGCCCACGGCGGGGGTGGTGGGTGCTGGTCCCCACAGCGGCAGGGCTGGGGGTGTTGGGGCCGGGCGAGGGGCCCGAGGTGGGCAGTCCTGGAGGGGCTGTTTGTCTGGTTCTCCCGCCGGCTGCGTGTCAGCTCTAATTAGGCAAACTTCTGTATTCATTGTGAGCCCAGCCAGCGGAGAATTCCACAATTGAATTTTAATGCCCTAAAAACACATTACAATCAGCCTGATTAATTAAGAGATGGCTTAACATGGTGACTGGGCTGCAGAGGGCTGTGCTGGGGAGGAGGGCCACAAGGACCGGCTCCTGTGCCCCACAGCGGCGGGCACAAGGCTGAGTGTGCTGGGGCCGGTCACTGAGCCTCATGGGGCTGTGGGAGGGGTGAGAGCCAGGGGCTGGCTGTGCCCTGGAGATGCCGGGCTGCATAGGATCTCTGCACCTGCATGCAGGGAAGGGCTGAACTCAGATCCCGGGCACCTGGTCAGCCTCGGCTCAGCCAGGGATGCAGTGGGAGCATTCCCTTCCCTCCCTGGGCCCTGCTTTCCCCTATCAGGTTGGCCACTGCTGAGCGCCTGTCCCCCATGTCCCCACTATGACCCCACTCTGGGCATGGGGGCTGACACTGTGCCATGCCACTGCCATGAGCAGGGCACTCCTGGGGGGAACCCGCTTGCTTTTGTTTGTGAGTGAACTGCTGGCAAGCTGGCAGGCTCCTATTAATAACTAATAGCTAATAACTAATATATACTATTAATAACTAATGATGAGCTGGGAGGTTCTGATTAATTTGTATCTGCAGTGATTCCCTGGGGTGCCAGCGATGCTGGCTAATGGGCTGCCACTTCCCTCAAGGCAGCTCTGTCCTGCTCCCAAACCACTGCTTGATGTCACCATGCTGTGCCCAGCCCAACCCAGGCTGTGTCCCCACATATGTCATTGCTTGGGGTGGCCTCACCAGCCCACCTGGACACTGTGGGGTGAAGCACCCCCAGGGAAGCCTTTCCCCTGCATCCCACCATGGGTGCTGGATAGTGGGAGTGATCCCTGCAGACCCTTTCTGGATTGAATTCCACAGGGTGCCCTGGTCAGGGAGACGGTTTGGCCAAAGCCCATCCTCCCTCTGTGTAATGAAAGGAAAAGGGAGGAATCCATAATCATGATGTAAAGGAGAGAGTGCAACTAGCAGGACATCAATCAGAGGGGAAGTGATAAAGGGAGCCTCTTGACAGGAGGGGCCAGCAGTGGAGGGAGGGATGGTGGCAGCATCATGAGGCCAAACAAAATTTTGGCATGGCGATAAATCCTGGAGCGGCTGGAGCTGCTTGAGCACTAATGATGAGGAGAAAACACCAGCCACGTTTAACAAATATTTCTGCTCTGTATTTGGAGAGAAGCAGGACGACATGCTTGAATTGTACAAGAGTGATGAAACCATCTATTAATTACTGCTGGGAATGTTAAACAACATCTGCCAGCTCAGCAGGCCCAGGCACCGCCCGCCCTGGCCTCCTCCAAGAGCTGGAGGAGAATTTGGCCTCCTCATTAATTTCCTACAAAATCTTGGAATAGCAAGAAAATCCTGGCCGGCTGATGGAGAGCCCACCCATGCTGGGAGCTGCAGGGAGGCAGGGGTGCTCAGTCCTTAACTTGGCTCTGCTGGGATTTATACCATGTTTGCACCCAGTTCAATCCTTCTTGATGAAGAATAGCCCTAAATTGGCAAAGGTTGGGCTTTTGTTTCCCATAACTTGGTATACAGATTTCATGTATATTCATGTGTTTTTGGAGGCTGCAAGAAAGTGAGGCTTGAGCTGGACAATGTGCTCTTTAAGGCATCCTGCAGGAATGTTTGTCACAGCTTTGGGAGGGATGCCTGGGATGCCCCCTCCCAGCCTGAACCCCAGATTCCCTCGCACAGCCACAGGGTGCTGGGGAAAATGGGACAGGTCTGGGGGTGCCCAGGAGGGACAGGGTAAGAAGTGTCAGTGGGACGGCACCATCCAGACACCCCAGCCCACCGCACCTCATCCCTCATGGCCCCCGGGGTGCCAGCTGAGCCACCTGGGAGCCTGGGACAAGCAGTTAAAATACAGAAATGTCAATTTAAATTAAAACATCTTTCATAAAGGAGAAAGATAATACCTGCCTTACAGCAAAATGAGATGAGAGATTTATGGGGTACGGGGAGGACTGGTGTCCCCATTTCAGTGGGTGACGTCTGCTGTTGGCACTGCAGGGCACCCCAAGGCACTGCCACCTCCCTGTCCCAGCCGTCACAGAGGCCAGAGCTGGGTCTGCAATGAAATGTCAGCTCGACAATAAATGTGCAGAAGCTACGTTTTCTTCAGGCTAATAAAACTCCTGGGTAGCAGCAGAGATGCTTGGTACAGAGCTGCCCTCCCTCTCCAGTGCCCCCTCCTCATCTTCCTTGGGGATATGGGGTCCATCTGACCCCATGCTCATTGTGCTGGCTCCTCACACAGAAGCTGCAGAGCACAGGCCCCAGCAGCAGCGTGAGACACAGCTCCAGAGCTGTGTGTGCCACGGCAGGGAGTAAATCCTCTGCGTCCTGTCAAGGTAAAGTGACAAAACACCAGCCTGCAATGCAGGAACCGCAGTTATAACATGAGAAAATCAATGCAATATATTACCAGAGACATAAAGATGCTATTAATGCTTCAGCACAGAGCCCTCAGCTTCGCCTGCCATCGCAGGGCAGGTTCACATGAGGGCTCTGTGCATTCCCATCTGTCTGCTCAGGTCCCTCACATGCTGGGGCTCAGTTCAGTGTTTATTCACTGACACCCCCACCCAGCAAAGCTTTCCTGCTCCCACACACTGACTCCTGGGCTTTGACCCTGCCAGGTGCCTGGGCTCCAGCTGGAGATGCACCCAGGGCTGCTGGGGCAATGCATGGCCTCAGTGAATGCCTTTCTGAGGTGCAAGGACCCAGGGAGGCTGCAGCCCCAGGCCAGGCAGGTACTAGCTCTCTTTCTAGGGATTCCAACGACAGTGCAGCTCTGCCATCCACACACCTGCACTCAGGTGTCTCCTGGAAAAGACTGAAGAGGATGACAACCCCTGTGCACCACAGAGTGAGGCCACAGGACATGTATAAGGCGCAGCGCACCCCTGGCATGGCGGCTGCCGGCAGGGAGCAGTCTGTGTCCTGGGGACGTGTGTGCTGGATAAGGAGGAGAGCTGGAGATACACATGCAGCCAGCCAGGTCACATCACTCAGCGAAGCCTGCCCCAACACCAGGGAGCACGGAGGGACACCCCAGCAGGGGTGATGGGGTCAGGACACAGCTGCCAGGGGATACACTGGTGGGGAGGCAGGCTGGGTTGGTGCTGGATCCTGTGCAGAGGCTTTTTGTCTCTTGGCCCCTTTGCATCCCAAGGACATGGATGCCAGTCCCTGCAATTGACAGTTTGGATTATTACTGAGAAGTTGAGTCAAGCCTCTTCTAATTGATTAATCAATAGCTTTAATTGAGTTGAGACTCCTTAGTGGATAGTTTCACCACTGTTATCCCCTTTGCCAGCACTACCCCGGCACTGACCCCCACCCAAAACCTGTTGCTGTGGCTGGCCTGTGCCCAGGCTGGGCTTCCACAGCACAGCAAATTCCTGGGGCTTGCGTTTGCCTGGGGCTGCAAAGGGCTACTGCAGCAGTGACAGAGGAGCCGGACCATGCGGGGCTCCCCCACCACGGGGTAGGAGCCCTCAGGAAAAAGCTGAAACACAAGGGGCTGCAAAATGTCCACGGCTCATGGTAGCCGTTCTGTCAGCCACGGCAGAGCCCCCGGGCATGGGCAGGGCAGGGCAGGACACGCAGCCCAGCCGTGCACCTGCGAGTGTGCCTGGGGCACACAGAGCACGGCGAACGGGGACTGGGGGCGCGGGGCTGCCTGCGGGCACCGCCGGGGTCACACTCCTGCACGCCCGAGCCACAGCTCTGCAGAAGTGGAGATGAACATTTTATGGTAAAATATGCAAAGCATGGGACAAAAGGAGAGAGCGTTTCTCGCATAATGAGACGCTGTCAGAGACAAGCTCCCCAGGAAACCAATTAAGAGGGCGCTTCGCGTGTGTCAGGCCAACACCTGGCAAAACCCCCTTTCCCAGAGCGGATTCCAGCCGCGCGGCTCCAGGCGCCCCCAGCACGGCCCTGTCCCGCAGACCCTCGGCCGCAGCCGGGAACCCCACGCGTGTCGCAGGCGGCACGGGGCCGGCTCTGCCCGCGGGGCGCGGCGTGGGCCGCTCACCCACGGCCGCGGGCACGTCCCGGAGCCCTCAGCGCGCCGCAGGCCCGCAGGACTGAGCGCAGCACGGCCCCCGCCGATGGGGGCTGGCTGCGCTCCGCGGGCGGGCCAGGGCTGCCCGGAGTGGCCGCGGGAGCACCGCCCCGCCCCGCCCCGCCCCGCCGCCATGGCGCTGCGCTTCTCCGCCAACCTCTCATGGCTCTTCCCGGAGCTCCCGGCGCTGCCGGCGCGGTTGGAAGCGGCGGCGGCCGCCGGGTTCGGAGCGGTGGAGGCGGCTTGGCCGGCTGGCTGCCCGGCCCAGGAGCTGCGGGCCGCGGCGGAGCGGGCGCGGGTGCGGATCGCGCTCCTCAACACCCCTCCCGGTACGGCCGCGTCCCGCTGCTCCCCCCGTGCGTGGGGTAGCGAGGAGCCTCCGCCGACCCTGCCTCTCTCTCCCAGGGGACCAGGAGGCGGGCGAGCTGGGGCTGGCGGCCGTGCCCGGGCGGCAGGCAGCCTTCCGGCAGGGCCTGGAGGCGGCCGTGCTCTACGCCAGGGCCGTGGGCTGCTCCAGGTAGGTGCGAGGCGGGACCCCCGCTCTGGCAGCGCCCCCGGCCCCGCGGCTGCCGGGGGGCTTCCTCTGCTGCCCCCCTGCTCCAGCGCTGCCCCTGAGCGGAGCCTGCCCTTTGCCCCGCCGTGCCTGCCGCCGCTGGGTCACGGAGCCTCTCCCGGGCAGCATCTCCTGCTCGGCTGCGTCGGGACGGAGCCAGCTCGAGGCAGACCCCGCTGTGCGGGACCGCGGCCTCAGCGTGCTCGCTGGGAGCGGACCCAGAGCTGCCAGGCACGAGCCCGACCCTGCCCTTCGCAGCAGAGGCTCTTGTTCCCACCTCCACACAACAGTCCCCAGGATAATCCTCCCTTTTTCCTCCTCAACTGCACGAATCGTTTCCACCAGGACACCAGAACAGTTGCTTTATTGAGGCCACGCTGACTCCAGCACAGCAGAGACACCATAAAAGATGCAATTAGCCTGGCACAGCTCCCTTCAGCAAACCAACAGGGCCCTTTTATTCCACTTACTTTGCACCATTCTTTCCTGTTGCAACTCAGTCCAAAGCCCTGTGGAGGGCATGGGCTAGGCACGCCATAGGCTGCCCAGCACCATTTGCACACTGGTACTGGCACATTGAAAAGGTTTTTGTTTCTACTGCGTGCCTTCCCCCAGTGGTGGCTGAAGATGGCCTGGTGCTTGAGCTCTTCATGGCAGGGCAGTCCAGCATGGCGCACTGTCCCCTCCCTGCTCACAGCCAGCAAGCAGTGACACCTCACATGGAGCAGGCCCCTGGCACAAGCAGCATGCCACTTGCCCAACGTGCTGGTTTGGGGCCCCACCAAGGAGCAAGAGCCCCAGAAAGTTCCAGAGTCAGGGTGAAAGAGCTGAAGGCAATTAACAAAATGGGGAAGAAGCAAGGTCTGTGATTTGTCAGGCAAAAGGTTCAAAGTCATCCCTCTGTGTACTGAGGTGGGACAGTGCATATTTGTGTCCTGGCTGGCAGCTCGCTGGCTGCTGTTGTGCCTCCTGGAGGCGAGATGGCTCTTCTTACCTCCTGTGTCTGCTCCCCATGCCTGGCCCCCCTTTCCATCAGCAGAGGAAGGTGTATTAGATCAGGCCAGCTGCTCCCAGTTGCTGCCTGTGATAATCTTTCTGTGCCTGTAGGATTCATGTGATGGCTGGGCGGGTTCCCTTGGGCACAGACCGGGCTGCAGTGGCAGGTGAGATGGAAACCACCTTCATTGAGAATCTCAGATACACTGCTGACCTCCTGTCACAGGTAAGTGGGGAATGGGTCCTGCTTTGTGTGTGCAGCTCTTAGGATACCCAGGATGGGGAATATCCTACCAGCCTGGCATGGGGAAGTTATGCTTCCTGCTGCAGAGATAACAGGATGGTCTGCAGGGTGACATTACTGTGTTACAGGAAGACATGATTGGACTGTTGGAGCCTATTAACAACCGCATCACTGACCCTCGCTACTATCTGAACACCCCACACCAAGGTAAGCCAGACAACAAGTCTCCTTCAGAGGAAAAGGATCTCCAAAGTCTGAAAGGCAAGAGGTTGCCTCACAAGGAGGGAGATGCTGAAGGAGCACAGTTGATAAAGGGGGTCCTGGGGCTTCTCTGCAAAGCTTCCACCCTGGGGGCAATGGTTTCTCATTTCTTGCCCCCTTAGCTGCTGCCATCCTGGAGAAAGTGGGACGGCCCAACCTGAAGCTGCAGCTGGTGAGTCAGCATTGAAGCTCTCTGTGAGAGAAACTTGCACAGGTCCACAAAGGAGTTCTGGTGGTCATGGGCTTTTTATACCTTCTTGGGGACACTGGACAGGGACCATAGCACAGCTGTCCTTAACTGCTCACTCCTGACCAGTTGCACCCTCCATTTTCCTGTCTCACCCCAGGACCTTTTTCACTGCCAGATCATGGATGGCAATTTGTCACGCAACCTGGAGACATACTTCCCGCTCATCGGTAACACCCTGCGCCCAGACCACTGGGGAGTGGCTTTGAGAGGGGGCCCTCCTACTCCAGGCTCTGCTGTAGCTGGCTGGGGGTGTGGGGCTGCTCTTGGGTCACCTTCATGGCCAAAGTGTCTCATTCATGGCCAAAGAAGGCTGCAGGCAGGGCTGCCTTGGGCATGGCTGCTCCCCTTCCCTCCCTAGGTCATATCCAGATTGCACAGGTACCAGGGCGGCACGAGCCCGACAGCCCTGGGGAGTTGAACTTCCCCTACATCTTCGAGCTCCTGGAGTCCCTGGGCTACACTGGCTACGTGGGGTGCGAGTATGCTCCGAAGGGTGAGTACTCTGCAGGTCTGAGCCCCAAGGGCAGGGCCAAGCACAGCTGGGTACTGTGCAAAGACAGGCAGGTCTTGGGGGGCACAGGTAGTGGATGTCATCCCTACCTGGGGATGAGGGCTCTGTCCTGAACAGAAGCTGCTCCAGCTGCAGTAGGAGACCTTGTCTGTCACTGCAGGAGACACTCTGGAAGGTCTGGGCTGGCTGCGATCCTACTGGGAAAGCCGAGGGCTGCAGCATGGTGGGACCAGCAAGGCAGCCAAGTAAAACTAGAAAACCATGAGAATAAAAGACAAAGTAATGGCTTAAAAGAGGAGCACGTGTCTTCTCTAGGACTAGGGGAGTGTGGTGGGTGGGATGATTTCCTCGAATGAGGTTAGGAGCATCTATGTAATTTCCCTCCCCCAGGCTCTACTGGGCCAGCCCAAGCTGCTGGACCCTCATCTACACAAGTACCACCTGCAGCATGTTTAATTTAGTGATGGCTCAGGCACCACTGTAGGTGACTTCAGGTACACAGAAAACTTTCAATTCCAGGCTGCAGGGGTGTTCAGGGAGAGGTTTCCAGTCTCCCCAATAAGGGGAGCATTCCAGCTGGTGCCTGAAGTTGTGGAAAGAACACTTTGGACTTCCAGGTACTGAAGTTCTCAAGGCTGTTGCCAGTGCCCAGCACTGACTCTGCAGCAGGGCTGCAAGTGAAGCAAGCAGTCCCCTCACAGGCTGTCTGATCCAAGGTAACAGGCTGGGAGCTGCCTGCACATGGATACTCCAGGCTGATTGCCCTGCTGCTCCTGCTCTGGAGCAAGTGTAAGATTCCAGAGCAAACCCAGCCAGCCCCATAGCCAGGGCTGCTCTGCATCCTCCACAGGCAGCGTTCCACAGCCTACAGCGACTGAGCAGGGATCTGGTTCAGTTTATTTCACAGATAGACCAATGGCTCAAATGTACACCTCCATAAAACCTTCCTGTGATCCAGTTCACCCTTCCTGTCCCATTCATGCTCTCCTAAGGAAAGCAAAAGGCGAGAAGCAGTTGTCCTCACTGCCAGGCAGGCAGCACTGCACTCAGGAGTCTTTCCTCCTAAAGCCAGAGCACTGTGCAGTGCTGCCCTGGGCAGAAGATGATGCCATGCACACTCCTCAGTGCTTTCCCAGCAGGCAGAACTCACCAATGGTTGCCAAAGCCATGTCCCTGAGAGTTGTTCTGCTTCAGCCAGGCTGCAGCAGCCAAGTTCCTGCCCTTGCTGTTTGGTTCAAGGCCATTCAGTATCAAGCCCACTGAAAACAGCACACAAGGGCCATTCCAGCCAGCCAGTGAGGAGGTGCACACCCCCAGGTCCTCGGCGCTGCCTGCAGTGCCCACACCCAGGTCCCCCCGAGACCTGTTCTTCCCCATGGTTGCAATGGCACTGCCGTGCCCAGGTCGGAATAGGCGTTGCTCCAGGATGTGGGTGCCGGTGCTAGAGCAGGCCTGTCCACAGGTTGAAGCAGGCAGTGTTGATAACTGACTCCAGGTGATGGTACGTGGACACAAGCTGTGGCAGAGGACTCTCGCTGTTCTGGGGCTGCACTGGGAACGGCTCCCGGAAAACCACAGTGAGGCTCTGCCAGGAGGGAGGAGAGGGTCAGGGGACAGGATGCAGACAAGCACTGTGCAATCCCTAGCCCAGATGTGTGGACACTTTTTTGGCAGTGTTAAGCAAATACTGGGAGACGACCCAAAATGCCAAACACTAAGCTAGTGCCTCTTCCTGTGACAGAGTATGTTTGAGCCTCCTCCCAATTTTTCTGCTGGAAATTCGGTGCAAGGACTTGCCCACTCTGTCCCAGCTCTCATACATCTGCAGTTACACCAACCCTGGCAGCAGCCACAGGAGAGGAGGGGATCCTACTGCCTCCACAATAACAGGAGCTTCCAGGGAAATTAAGAGGGAAATTTCTTCTTCTAAGGGAAAGAGTAGGAGTGCAACAAATGGGGAAGGGGAGGAGATGAAATGTAATAACCGCAATCCTAAAAATAAATGCTGCCTGCTCCACTCTGACTAGTGACTGTACTGAAAAGGCAGAGCAAAGGCAGAGAAGAACAGGGAGCAGGCAGAGGTTGCAGGAGCTGAAGCAGAACAAAAATGTGACTCAGTGCACTCAGATCAGCGTCATGGAGGCAAGACACAGGGACAGGATGTTCTCCAGAGTTGAAATGCAGCACATCCAGTAGCCAGGGTCCCTTACCAACTCATAAAGCCATGAGAAGAGCTGTGTAACTACAAAACAGCAATTGTACCACCATCATGTAGGAGGAGAAAGGAAGTTATTTGTGAGCCCAGCTCCAGCAGCATGCAAGGCTTCGGAGCAGACTAGGGGAGACAGAACCATGAGGGAAATGCAGCTCAGTGTTACCAAAGTGGGAAATGCAGCTCAGTGTTACCAAAGTGATGTGCTAATGCTAAAATTCTCTTTGATAAGGCAGTATTTCTAGACAAAGGGATCATGGTACATCTTATCCGAGATTCAGGATGGATTTGATGTGGTGTCACATGGGAAATTTAGGTAAGCTGAAAAGATAGGAATTAACCAAAAATTTTTAAGATGAGAACATGGCAGTGCTGAAAGGGGAAACAGAGAGAGGTTACAGATAGAGTTCCTTCAGGACAGGCTTTGGGACTCACATTGCCCAGTACTTTAACAAGTCTGGTACAAAGATGAGGAGTATGCTGACAAAATTTGAGGCACTAATACAAAAGAGAATTGGGATAATGCAAAAAAAAAAGCAAGCCCTGAGAGAGTTTTGAGAGGCCACAAGAATGGGATGAATGCTAAGTACAAAATACAATGTCATGGAAACAAAGGATTTCTGTTACAAAATGAGAGTCACTGGGAGAGGGGATGGACATTCTGGGTTTATCATATCAATGGCCACAAGATGACACTATGACCATCAGGTGGCAGGAGGCACTGAGCAGCCTTTCAGCAAGCACCACCTCTTCTGTCTCCCCTACCTGCTTTTCAGATGGAGCATGATTTATTTTATATGGCATCAGTTACTCTGCAGTCTCTGCAGAAGCCTTATTGTGGACTGAAGCCTCTTGTAGATCCCCTGCTCTCACATGGAGCTTCATCCCCTGTGATCCATCCTGCACCCTGCCTGGGAGCTGAAAGCAAAGTATTTTTGCCCTCAAGTTCAGTGAAGGCAAAGGCTCTTGCAGGTTTGCTAGACCCTGACAGCGCAGGTTCCCTTCCTTTCTGCCCAAGTAGGAGCAGCCCATAGCACTGGTGACCCCTCCCAGCCAGACCCAGTGTGATCTGACTTTGGACTGAATACAGAAGGACTGCTTAGCCTGGATAGAGAGACAACTGAGAAAATGATCCAAAAGCAATCCTGTGAAGGAAAAGAGGATCAAGTGTTCACTCTTTTCTAATACAAGAACAAAGGGACATCACATGGAAAGAACAGTAAGAGTTTCAAAAATAAGCCAAGGAAGTTCTTAATCTAGACTGCAACTGCTTCATGGAGCTGCAAGTCAGAGGAAATCATGGATGCCAGAAATTAACCGAAGGAAATAAAGCTGTGGAGGGCTATTAAATAAATGCAAAGGCCAATTCTAGCTCAGGATGGGCCTAAGCTACAGATTTTCAGATGCTGGGACAGTATTTAGGAGAAGCATTACAGCTTCTTGACCTGGTCACGTTCTCATGCACACCTGCCCTTGGCCACTGCTGGATCAATCTAGACAGATTCCTGGCCTGAGCCAACATAGCTGTTGTTCTGTTCCCAAGTACTCACCGTTTTTCCTGAATGAGAATCAAGAAACACAAGAACAAAGCAATCTGTGAACTTCTGGTTGAGCACAACCTGTCAGGAGAGTCACAGAGGACATTAGAAAGGAGCCAGTACAGAACCCACGACAGGGACACAGGGACAGAGGCTGCAGCTGGGCAATGGGCTGTGTCTTACCAGATACTGGGTGCCGGTTTCAGCATTGTGGAAGTGCCGACAGCTCTGGGGAAAGCGGCTCAACAGCACCTTGATGAGGCTCTGGTACCAGGAGACTGTCATGGTGAGGAAGCATTCCTGAAGGCATAGAAAAGGCCTGATCTTCAGCCTCCCTCTAGCCATGGCACCAGCAGCCATAATGCTACAGCAGCCTTCAGACCCCAAATCAGATGCAACCTTCACAGCCCACTGAGGATGCTGACCGAGGGCTGTTCACTCTCTATAGACAGGTCCACGCAGTCTCCCCCTTCCTCTGCCACCTAGGAGCTGTGTTCCTGCCTCTACCTTCCCACCAAGCAGGAAGAGATGTGCATTGCAGGCCCCTTCACCTGGCACCCCACTTCATCCCAGAGCAGAACAGCAGCTGCTGTGCTGTGCCCCCATCCCTGCTGCTCACCAGCTGGGGGTCGACATCTGCGATGGATTTCCCATGCACGGCATCGAGCAGCTCCTCCAGCTCCACCAGCGAGAGCTTGCCCAGCTTCAGCTTGTCAGAAGCCAGAGGCTCCAGAAGGAAGAGGCGCTTCCAGAGGTTGTCCCTGCGGCAGTGGCACTTGGCCAGCTGCACCATGCTGCTGAGCTGCTTCTGGGCTGATGCCACCTCAGAGGCCAGCAAGGGGAAGAGTGGAGAGGTGTAGAAGAGCCCTGGCCCCAGTTTGACCTGTGTGCCCCCTGCATAGAACTCGCTGCTGTCCTCCACGTCCTGCCACAGCTCCCGCTCTGCCGATGGCTGCTGGCCCAGGCTCGGCTCCGGCTCCGCTGCCTCCCAGGCTGCCCGGCCTACCACAGGCTCCAGCACTTCCCGCTGCAAGCGCGGCAGCTTCTTGAAGCGGCGCATGTCGGCCGTGAGCCGCGGAAAGAGCTCCCGCTGGCTTGTCATGATGACGTAGAAACGCAACCTGGGAGCAAGGAGACACTTGTTGAGCTGGAGAAGGGCTGCTCCCCTCTCAGCTGCACCGCAAATGAACCACAGGCCCCTCTGTCCCTGCCAGAAAGGATGCATCTCTTCCCAGGTTCTCACAGTGATCCTCCCCAGACACCAACAACTCTGCCTGCGCTATTCCAGACAGAACCAGTCCCTCCCAGAGCCCTCCTCCCCAGCCAGGAAGCTTTGCTGCCACTGGCCCCCAGTGCTCACCGGAGCATGCGTCTCTCTGCCTCGCTCTGCTCCTCAAATGGTGCAGCACTGTGACAAACCAGGAGGGACACATCGAAGTCATCATGGTGACGCAGACCTTCAGAGTCCTTGTAGGAGCCCGAGCTGGGATAAAAAAGCACATCAGTAAGAAGAAAGCCTCACTTTGTTCTCTCAGGGCTCCTGATCACAACAGAACTGTCGGACATGGGGAATTCCACACAGCAGGACTCCTCAGAAGTGCCATGGGAAATGTCAAATGCAGCTGCACACACACACATCACTGCTGGCCATCTCAGAAGGACTGGCCACAACTGCTGGCATCGTATAGAACAGTCAGCTTTGCTGGCACCTTAGGGCAGTGTCCCCAGGACTGGCAGGTTGCCACCAATCTCCAGCAGCTCCAGGGATTTGCAGCAGATGCACTCACCTGTTCCAAATAGAGACCAGTGCATATTCATTCTGCTCTGTGCCCGGTGTTCCCTTCTTGCTGTCATTGCCTGTGGCCGGTCGGGCCATGCGCAGGGGTTTCATGTGGTAGGTGTTGGCATGGTCAGCAATGTAGTTGTACAGCTGGTGTGCAGTGATCATGTTGGTGGGCAGGGCCAGCGTGCCTAGTGGAAAA